TTTTAAATTAAACGGGTTTTCGGGTTGACCCGGCAACCCGTCGGGTCAACCCGAACCCGACCCGTTTTTGCAAACGGGTCGGTTTACCGGACCCGAACCCGACCCGCTTCGGGTTCGGGTCAACCCAAACCCGAAAATTCCGGGTCGGGTTCGGGTCGGGTTTTCGGGTCGGGTCCAATATTGACAGGTCTACATGTAGCCAACCCCACATAGTGGGATAAAAGTTTGTTGTTGTTGCTGTTGTTGTACCCAAATAATATGTTAAATGACATGACATATTAGTTTTTTAATGAGTTAGGAAGTAACAAATTAGTATAGACATGAAACATAAAATTGCACAAGACGAAAAGTGACAATTGATAAATTGCATGAAATATAATTGAAATTTACATATCACAAGAACAAAATAATATAAAATATAATAATTATATAAAAGTATCATATAATATTAAGTTCAACTCCATTTTTTTAATTACCTACTCATTCACATTTAATTACCAAAGAAAGCTAAAATAGTTGGCAACAACTCAAAAATCACTTGCATTGTAATTACTGAGGGGTCTTTTTTTTATTTAATTATATTTTATTAATGAAGGGTCTTTATTCGAGTCATCGCCATAACAATTGATCTATCCCTTGTTTCATCCTGTGAAGTCCAATGCTTCATAGTATGCTCCTTCCAAATTTAAGATGATCTAAATTAGATAAGTCTTCAATTCTTTCCTTAGAAGAGATTTTGGAAAGAAAGGGAGGGAAAGGGAAAGTATGGCCAGAGGGTGAGGGCTTGGGCAGTTTGTGGCCGGCGGCTAAGGGGAGAAGATGGAGGGGATTGGTGGCACATGGGGTTGTGATGTCAGTGGGGGTTTGGCCGAGAAAGGGAGATGGGAGTGGGTGCTAGGCCAACAACTTTTGGATGAAACTTGACTGGCGGTGGAGGGAGAAGGGGAAGAAATAGAGAACAAAAGGTAACCACGAGTCCGGACGCTTCCTGCGACTAGTGGGTGATCCGGGCTTTGGAAGGATTTCAAATTTCAAATTCAAATTTATTTGAATTTAGATCATTTCCCAAAATAAGATTAATCTAATTTGGACACTTTCCAATCTTTTCAAATATGAAATTAATTAGAGATTCTCTTCTAATGACCTTTCCTTAATTAATACCCCATGTTTGGAAAGACTTCAAATCCCCAATCAATTTCCCTCATGCATGGCCGGCCAACCCCCCTCTCTAATTTAATTAATTAATTAGAGATTCTCTTCTAGTTCTCTTTCTTTAATTAATACCATACGTTTGGAAAGGTTTCAAATTCCCAATCAATTCACCCATGCATACCCGACCCACCCTCTCTCTCCAATTCCCTCAACCCCCATTAATTCCCCATCCAATTCCAATCAAAGCTGTCGGCCCCTCTTTTTCCCCCTCCTATTTAATTAAAAAAGTCCCTTAAAATCTCAAATCAACTCCCCCTTAACCTTTCCCTCTCCCCCACGTTTTCCTCTCTTTCACTGAAATTCCTGTTAGTTGTCCACGTATTCCAGCGAGAGTGTCTTGCTGTGCTGCACCCCTGAAGGTCAAAAATTGCTGTCCAAAAGCTCCCAGCATCATAAAATAAATGCCGAAGGCTGTTTTTAGCATTATAGGTTGTTGTCTAGAATTGTCCAAAGGCCAAAACTGCTGTCCACACTGTCGTGGTTGCTGTCTAAAGAATTTTGCAACTTCCCTTGCTCTCCAGCCGGCCGAGGAATCAACAGTTGCTGTCCGGAAGCTCCAGTACACCGAAATCTGTTGTTTCCTCATGTATGGTGGATCCAGAACTTGATCACATGATCGTTTATAACAACCAAGGCTGCGTCGACATCCTCAACTCACCGTTCTTCGACATCAACCTCGAAGTTGACCAAACTGTAGAGGAGTACATGGAGAGGATTGTCTTCACCCTCGCTAGAGCTATCGACGAGCAACTTGCTTCCGTCCAATGGCAGATTGTCTCCAAATCCTGAGCAAGGTGAATCTTTCCCCTAAATCTTTTCATATCTAAATTTTACCCTAACCTGTGGTCTTAATTGATTCATAAAGGATGTGTTAACTCCCTCCGCGAAACCTAGTAATTTAGAGAGTTGATTGAGGGATCGATTTTCATAGTCACTAGTCTTATTATTAACTTAGGAATTTGTTGTTGAAAATCTTTCATGTATGTTATGCTTGAGGAATTGATTATTTTGTGGTCTTAACTTCTAGTTATGTGACTTGGCCTAAGCTAGTGTCACTCCTTTCTCGTTTTTATTTCATTGTTTAAACCACTACAAGTTTAAGTTAATATTGCTTTTTAGATTAAAGCGTGCAAAATTCGTATTCAATATTGCCTAAGCATTTAAGTCATGCATCATAAACCTTAAATTTTAAAAACCATAAATTATAAACTTCAAAATTTCACAACTAATAACATTAGCAGGACATTTATTTTACTAAGGGGCTATTTAGTTTGATGAAAAAGAAATATAAGGGTTGTTTGGTTTGAAGTAAAATGGGTGTAAATCATACCAAATGCATGAGTTTCAAAATTAGTGTTTAGTTTGAAGTAAATAAAATGCAAAGTAAAATTTTGAAGTATTTAGAATTCATCATCTAATTCAATTTTGGTGTATTTAAAATCATTAGATTTAGCCAAGTTCCATTGCCAGCAGCCGCCCATCGCTAGCCTCTGTACCCACTGATCGTTGCTAACACATGTCATCGACCATCCCTACCACCACCATCATTAGACTTTATATTGCACTCATTTTACTCCAATTCAAACAATAAAAAAGGCAATTATTCGCATGAATTTTAAGTTCATCCAAAATAACTTCAAAATATTTCAAATACATTGCATTCATTTTACTCTGCATTTCTTTTTCAAGAAACAAAATGACTTCATAGAATTAAAGAAATGCAAAGTAAAGCAAAAGTAATGCATTGAAAAAACTTCTAACTTATTTAGTTAAATGTACTACAAATGCAAAATTTTACCTTTTTTTTTTGTTTGTTTGAAGTAAGAAATGCAAAAGTAAAATAAAAAATGCTTTTATAGCAAAAGATGATCGAAGGTGACCAACGGAGAGGATGGTGGGCAGCAAGGTGTGGGCAATAACGGCAGCCGGCGATGGACGACATCGCCACCTAGTGGTTGGTGAAGCGTGGCGATGGCTTGCGTTGTCAAGCGGTGGTGGTGGGTGATAGCGGCCGGTGACTTCTCAAAAAACCTGCTTTCACTTTACACTTTGAACGCAGCCAACCAAAAAAATTGCATGGAAGTTAAGCTAACATGACATATCTGAAAGAATTAATGCTGAATTTATTTGTCCTATCAGCCATCCATAAAAGTTATAATCTATAGAGACTAATGTTTATGTAAATTACCAGTTCTAATTGCTTGAGCTTTTGGAGGGCAGCGTTAGCATCTGGTTCAGAAGACTTGTCCATGCTTATCATCTGATATCAATAATAAGCAATACGATTATATCCCCTTTCGTGCTATAAATTACTACTTCATGGAGTTTTGTGAGTATTTGAAATACTTGGTTTATGACTCACCGCATTAAAATCTTTCCGTGCTTCCTCAAAGTCTCCATTTAACATGTAAGCCATGCCCCGGCGATAAATAGCCTTGACATGCACAGGGTTAGCATCCAATACCTGCTAGCATCAAATGAAACATAAAATGTTAAATAGATTTTATTCCACCTAATGACATAATACTCATCAAGAAAATTAGGAAAGCTATACAGGTATGTTGTCCAGTTTTCATCGGCCAATTTGACCTGCTCAATCTTAACAAGCATAAAAAGCTTTTACATTCTATCCAGATACCAAATCAACCACTCTTGGTACTAAATATCTTCATTCCAATGGAAAAAAAAAAACAGTGGAAAAGCCGCTCTGACCATCCAAACTCTAAATAAACATCAAAAGAGAAAAAGGACTCAACATAACACGTTAAATGCAGATAGATATGACACGAGGGTTTAAAATACAAAGCTGGTTCAGTCCAAAATTGTGTACTCGTGAGACATACACAAACCAGTAATCATGACAAAACACATTTGAACCTTCATTATTTGAAAATTATTATCAATATGAAACAATTAAATAACAAGGTTATCAAATAATTGTGTTTTTAAGGCTTTGCTTACATCATCAATTCATCAAAGTACTAAAGCACACTTTCACTTTGGTGGAGGATTGTCACAACATTCTGAGCTATAACAATGAAATTAATAATCAAATCTATATAAAAAAAATCTTGCAAGTCAATTCTAACAATAGGCATCTAAAAACATCCATGTCTGAAGGGCTTCAATAAATTTAAATTTTCCATCAGTACATCCCTTAATTTTTTTTTTCCTTTTTGAGATTTGGACATTTGCTCTCATACTGAGACACCGGAGAATAAATGCTATTATTTTGAATGATTTACCTTATTGCACGTCTCAACTGATTTTCTGTATTCACCCATTTTCTGGTAGCATGCTGCAACATTCAGATGCAATGCGTTCTGCAAATACCATTAACTTAAAATTAACACAACCAAGACTAAATAAAAAAATCAAAGACGACATGAATCAACAACAAATCGCCTCTACAACTGTGTATACACTCCCAGAGAGAAATGAAAAAACTAGAAAACACAAATCCCCACAAGCAAGCACACATATTTAATGGTTAAAAGGTAGGTTGGGGATTTATGACATAAAATTGAACTTCAAAAAAACTAGAGAGGATAAGGATTTAAGCATACATAAGCTGTTCCGTTTCCTTCTAGATGGACAATACTAGAAGTTTAGAACTAAATATAGGGTAAAGATTCCTTCTGTACTACACAAAAAAAAAAAAAAAAAAAAACTTACTCGTGAATTTAAAAAGGTTTTCCCTTCCTCATCATCTTGGGGATTAACATGATTGTACTCCCGAAGAACCTGTTTGAAACAAATAAAAAAAAACTAAATTCCTTTAGATACATTGACAGGATATTGATTCTTTACAAATTTTCACACTTATCAATAAAACCAAAGTAACCATATAAACAAGCAAATAGTAGAGGAACGCATTAAATTGCAATTATTATAGTTTGTATGCTTTATATAAAAGTCAACCAGTGCTATGGCCCTAAATGTTTTCCAATGAAATAAGCTGACAGTATTCTGTGTTGATATCAAAAAATTTTGTAACATTCCTAGAACAGGTGGCCAGGGTATGCAAATTATGTATGCAAACCATAATTTGACAAGATTGATTCTCTTAAGATTTTCCAAATGCAAGTCGATTAAGAAAATGAAATCCTAATTCAGATATCCATTCATCTTCGAAGGTATGTGCAGTTTAAATCTTTTGAATAATCTGGCAAACATATTTCCTATGATTATACTCCAACATTGACAAACTCTATTAATTTAACCAAGCAATAACAAATCTAGCAAACGAGTTTCTTTTCATTGATCATACTGAAATGTAACTACAGATAGTTTGATTAAACTAGCAACCTGATGTCATATGATTACAGTCCAGCAATGAAAAATTCTATACATTAACAAAGCAATAAAAAACCTAGAAAAAGAGTTTCTTCTTATTGATCATAATAAAATGGAAGTCCAGATTTAAAATAGTAACACTGCGAAAATGGTAATTTAGCTATTCATGAGGAAAATTTATGAATCACAGATTAGGATTCTTAAGTCAAGTTTAAGAACATCTCCATTACTTTGTTTCCTTATTGGTTTTGCTTCGAATCAGAACAAATTTTCAGTGGAGAAAAACAAAACAGAAAAAAAATCCGTAGAGAAGTATGTCAATCTTCATTTGGCAACACCTTCTACAGTTCTCAAAAGCTAATAATACACACTTATCTACTTTGCAGCGATTTAAAATGTAAACATATGAGGCTCAAGTTAAAATCATTCACAACAACATAAGCTAACAAAGACACTAAGAAACTAATGATGTAGGCAGCATAGGTCAAAAGAATAGATAAAAATTTCAAATGGTTATATGCCTTCTCATATTTTGCCTTGGCCAGCTCATACTTTCCTTCTTTAAATAGTCTGTTCCCCTGAAAAAGCAAATAAAAGAAATCAAATACTTAAATAAGTCCTACCAACAAATATTATAAAGTGCACAGGGAATCAAATGAAAAAAAAAAAAAAGGCAATGCCACTAAAGATCATACTGTGGTCTTTATCTTTTCTACTTCATCCATTATATTCTGAAAGTTTAATCCAGTCCAATCCTGCAATTAGATACGGTTCATGCATAAGAAATGAAGGAAATGATTTTCAAAACTCAATAAAGCTACTGAAGATTGAGAGAACGGTTTTCTTTATAACCTATCCTCGTAAATAAATATACTAGTACTTAACAGTTTCAAGGAATTGCTTTCATTGGAGAAAACTAAAGCACAGCAAAACCCACTGGCCCATCGAAATAAACATTTTAACAATGCTGGACAGCGTATAAAATAATACACAAAATGGACATAAATAACACAAATTGGACATTTTCCCAATACAATGTTTTGTTTTTCTAAATTTACGTTAGGGATAAAAAACCAATGGAATTATTAATGGTTTCTCCTAATTTATTTTTCCTTCAAATTACTTTATAAATGCCAAAAATTGATGCATTCTCGGATTGGCCAGTAAATATTAGAAGCCCTTTCACCAGATGACAATAAAGAAAATTTTAGAAGCAAAATAGACATCTTGTTCAAATGAAGCACATTATTAGTAGAAATCAAGAGAGTCGGGGAACTGGAAAAACAAATGTCCTTTACCTTTGGCATCTCAAAACCAAGAAGCTCAATTTCCCACTGAACATGTGCGCCTTCAGGAACATTAGCAGGCCTGCTCATGAAATGACTCCATTAATATTGTATTTACCAGCACAACTACATATTTTACTTTATCAAAACACCTTTTGAATCTGTCATATGCATAGTCTGGGGGGCAGGTGATGACAGATATCTCTCCTGGAAGCATTAAACGCACACACATTTCAAATCCTTCTGGAACCTGCACCAAATTACATGAAACATATTATTGGCATAACAATCCACAATTAAGAACATTGCAGACAGAAAAGTTCAATTAAAAATTTCAAAATCAAGGTAATTTAGAATCACGTGTAGCAATTGTGAAACTCACATCATTCATTGACTTCTTTAATCTCTCATGAACCTTTTCATCCCCATTCAAAATCGTTAATCATTCCAATGTTTCAGACCATATCTCTAACACATAATTGGAACTGGATTACTTTTTCTGTAATTAAATAGACTTTAATCTAAAACACTACGTTTGATCATATTAATTTACAACCCACTACCGAGAGAGTGTGCATCTTTTATGACAAGTTTCACTTAAATCACAAAAATAGAATCCTCATATGCACAAGAGATTTAAAAAATAATACAAATTTGATTTTGTTTTGATTAAAACACACAATATATCCAGCAAAACAGCAATGGAAACACTGATCACCATGCATCAAATATTAAAATCTATTTAGTAGAGTGCTACACATTCCAATTACGAATTTAAAAACTTTTGTAGGAAAGTTGGATAATTTTAGAAGCTCAAAAGATTACAAGATTAAAATTCTAAATGAATCAAATGTAGGGATGCTTATTTTTCTTGTAATAAGAAAATACTACTGTTGATATGCTCATATAGATTTTTATTTCATGGAAAAGACTCGGCCAGTAAGACCATGTGTATCTGACTATGTATGGATTTAAATGCTAATTAAGCTTCACAAAATGGTTCAGCCATTTCTTTATTAAAATGCTTCTGTTATCAAACAGGAGATTCAGAATTTCTTGGTCAATGGGTCAAAATTAAAACTCTTACAAGTCCTTCTCCAGAACAGAACTCCAAAGGCTCGCCATTGTTATCAGCTCTTGTGTCGTAAAAAACAGTCCTCTCCTCATTAAGAAGCAGCCCCTTGTAATGCACCCTCAACAAACTATCCTGAAGTGGGCAGTCCATAGGGAACTCACCTAGAAGGTTAAAAGAAATACTAGTTCAGTGCAATAAAAAGATGAGACTGCTCAACAAGTAAAAAATAACTCTGCATATTTAATATAACGGCTGACAATGCTATATAGCTTAACTAACACTGGAATAATAAATTTAACCGAGAAATTTAGCCAATTACAATTAAATCGGCTTGTTACTTCATCATCATTAGCCTTTATCCCTTTGTCTGTGATCATATTTATGAAGTCACCTCAAATAATTTCTACAGAGCATTATACAAGGTGCTAGCTCCATTTGGTGCAAATCTTTTTACATAAACTCCACCCTTAACCTAATAAGGCAACAATTTCCCTTTCAAATCTTACGCGTTAGTGTTATCTATGATTTATAATGATGAATGTTTTGCACTTCATTATACATAACGAAACCATATAAGCAAATTTTCACTCGTACCTTTAATGTGGCACTCTAGCTGAACCATTTCACTTGAATTAGTTTAATTTTATTCTTCCTAATTTACCCGCACATCCCTTAAAATTCTTATTTTCCAATACTAAACTTAGATGTCAATAATCTGTTTATTGCTCAACACTAAAATTCATATACTATAGTGCTCTATTTGCCGCGTTTTTTTTTTTTTGTTTTGCTCAAAGTCTTCAAGATATTCTCTCATCACAAATTTTAAAAGGCATTTCATCATTTTATTAACTTAGCCTCAACTTTAAAGCTATTTTGTCATCCATCTTTTTTTTTTTTTGGGCATTGCTAATCCAAGATAGTTTGGGAACTTGATCTTCAAGTAATTTACAATAATACTTATCAATTTTGAAGAATTTTTTAATTTATTATTCTTCTTGTTAAAAAATGGAACTATATATGCATATATATACTAAAAAAGTGTCTAATAAAAAAACCAACTAGCTTAATTCTTTCCTAAAATTTAGGAAACATAATCATATGAGAATAATTATTTCCTAAAAATTAGAAAATAAAATTATAGGAGAATAATTCTTTCCTACAAATTAAAAAATAGAATCATAGGAGAAGATCATAATCGATCTCTCATTTTATTCCTAAAAATAATTTCCTAAAATAACCTAAATTTAAATTTCAAATATTCAACATTCTCCCTCAAGCTGGAGAATATATATCATATACTACAAGTTTGCAAATTAAGTCTTCAAAGTTAGGTTTAGGTAGAGCTTTGATAAGGATGGCTACAGTTTTTTGCATGGTAGGAATGTATTTCAATTTAACAGTCTCACTAGTCACCTTTTCTACGATGAAATGTTTGTCAATTTCAATATGCTTAGTCCTGTAATGATGCACGAGATTCTTAACTATGTTGATAGTCATTTGATTATCACACATCATCAAAATAGGAGATGAACTCAATTGTCACAGTTCACAAAGAACCATTTTTATCAAATCCCATGTGCAAGTGCTCTGTACTCGGCTTCTGCATTACTTTTGGCTACCACTAATTGTTTATTACTCCTCCAGGTAACAATATTACCCCAGGTAAAAGAATAGTACCCCGAAGTTGACCGTCTATCAATGATGTTTCATGCCCAACTTGTATCTAAATATACTTCAATATCACGATTCTCTATCTTTAAAAAGAATAGGCATTTCCTTGATGTCATCTTCAAGTTTCTAAGAATCATGTAGATTGTTTCCATATGTTCTTATGTAGGAGTGTGCGTGAATGGACTTACAACACAAAACCAACATCTAGACAAGTGTGTGAAAGATAGATAAGACGTCCAACAAAGCTTTGATTATCTCCCACTATCTATTGAAGTACTTTCTTTCTCAGTGCCAAGTTTCTTTAGACTGTCCATATAAGTATCAAAAGTTTTGCATCCGAGCATACCGGTCTCCTTAAGAAAATCTAGAATATAATTTCTTTGAAAAATAATAATGTCTTTTCTTGATCTAGCCACTTTCATTCTAAAAAAATATTTAAGATTTCTAAGATCTTTAACTTCAAACTCTTCTGACAAATACTTCTTCAAATTATGTAATTCCTCCACGTCATTTACAAATAGAATAATATGATCGACATAGAGTATCAAATATCAATATAACAATTTTTCTAGCGTGAGATTTCTTGACAAATAGAATATGATTAACTTGACACTATGTAGACTACGCTTAAAAACAACCTTTGTGAATCTATCAAATCAAGATCAGAGATATTGTTTAAGGCTGTATAATAACTTCTTGAGTTTACAAACCTGATTCTTTGCCATACTTTTTTCAATACCAGGTGGGATTTTCGTGTAGACTTCCTCTTCGAGGTCACCATTTAGAAAGGCATTTTCTATATCTCTTGTTGCAAGTGCCAATCTTGTTTGACAACAATTGAAAAAAGAATTTTGATAGTGTTATGCTTTGTAACTGAACAAAAAAATTTTGATAGTCTATACCATAGGATTGTGTAAATCCTCTAGCCACCAACAGAGCCTTGAACCTATCAACTCATCCATCCACTTGAACCTATCAACTCATCCATCCATTTTATACTTTATAGTAAAAATTCACTTGTACCCCAAGGGCCTTTTCCCAGCCGATAAATTAATAATAATCAATGTTACACTCTCCTCAAGTTCATCAATCTCATCTTGTACTGCCTTCTTCTACTCTGAATTTTGTATATTGTATTAAGAACCTAAATATCATCAAGAGAAGTAGCAAATGCTCTGTAAGATAGTGATAACCCTTCATAAGTAACATAATTCCGAATTGGATGACCTGTACATCTCCTAATACCCTTCTTCAATTCGATTGGCATAGTAAAGTCATCAATGCTGGGAATCGACACATCTCTAGCCTTATCCATACTTATGTTTTCTTTGGGTGGATTTCAAATTGAGTCAATATTTTGGCTACCTATTGGTTGTGATCCGTGTTGTAGCTCCTACCTTTCCTTCCTCCTGATGTAGACTTGAAAATTCTCATTATGAAGTTAAGGAGCAACACATTGAGCAGTCACGAGAGAAGAAATATTTGTGGGTTCGACTGATGACTAAACAAGCATGAGTGTGGACAAGTCTTGTGTACGGTCTTTGGGCTAAATATGGGTTGAGAAGAACTTGGTGAATCTGAATGGGCAAAGGCCATAAACTCAAGAAAGAACTCCCAGACATGATATTCATTCATACTCTCCACCCGAACATGAGATTTTGGATAGTAGGACATGTGTTCAAAGAAAGAAACATCCATGGTAGTGTAAAATTTAAAAAAAAAAAATCCATGGTAGTGTAAAATCTATTGTTGGTTGAAGAATAACATTTATACCTTTTTTTTAATTAGAGAGTACCATAGAAGAATACACATATTGGCTCTAGGATCAAATTTGCTATGATGTTGAGGATACACATGAACAAATGTCATGCCACCAAATTGGATAGAAGTACATGTATTCAAATAGGTAGCAGTGTGACCAACTTCCCCTAGAAATAATTTGGAACATTAGAGAAAAACATAAGACAACGGGCAACCTACAAATGTTTATTCTTGTGTTCACCCAACCCATTTTATTGAGGGGTGTCAACACAAAAATTTATGTGGATAATCTCATGATTCGGAAGATAGGTATTGAGACTATTAGTGAAGTATTCCCTAGAATTATCTAACTTGAGTACCCAATGTTTAAAATTGCGTATTCGGGTATTGAGGCGTTTTTCATGGGTGAGGCGAGGCGTAATCCTCAAGGCGTTTTGAGGCATAAGCCTCAAAATCAAAAGATTGCGTAAACATAAAATGAAATTTTTTTTTATACTAATGAGTGTATAATAGAAAAAATAAAAAAGCATAAGATATGAAGTGAAATCAAAATATCTCAATAATAAGACAACATGAAAAATAGTTCAACTCAAAATTCTATCTTTCCCAAATCCCAGTATTCTTTTCATTAACATATAATTCCAATTTCTAAAAATAAATAGCAATGACATATCACATAAGAACTCACAAGTCATCAGCACTGTCATCACTAAAGGGTTCATCATTTGAATCATCATTATGATGAACTGTTCTCTCTCCTTCCTCCTCTCTTATAGAGTCCACTGTTTGGCATTTACTTCAAGATTTATGTAAGTTTTAATATATATAACGTGAGGCGAGGCGGGCCTCAACCAAATTGAGGCGCAAGCCTCATGGAAAAAACTATAGGCGTAAGCATCGAGGCGTTTTTTACTGGAATTGCGCAAAGGCGGGCCTCAAGGCGAGCCTCATATTGCGCAATTTTAAACCATGTGAGTACCTGAATTCTAGTTATTTATAGTTTCAGGCAAGGAAAAAATCATTTTAATTTGAATTCATAGAAAAGGCAAATAATAACCATTATGACCCAAAGCAACATGGATCACTGACTATAAATAAGGAACTTCCCTAAAATGAATACTAACACTAGCACTCCCCCACAACTCAGAGCAAATATATTAATTAATATCAGTTTATAACATAGTATTGAAAAGAAAAAAAAGTGGAAACAATGCTTGAATGAATATCTACGAACTGCTCTAAGTTATCTACTAGGCACTAGCTATTGTGAGCAAGAAAAATAAGAGGCAACAATCTTCTTTGATGGAAAAGCATCATCAATAGCATGACTAGCCAAACTTAATATGTTAGATTCTTTTTTTAATGTGATTACTAGCAATATAAATGACAATATGAATATCATAATTTAACGGCATGGGGTTGTCTGGTAGAAAAACCAAATCCCCTTAGCATGAAAACTTTAAGGACATGGTAGTGGTATGGTTGAAAAATCAAATCCCCTTAGAAGGGTATTAACCTACATCATTTCACATGTAGATCATATCATGGCGTTGTATTCAACCTCAACGCTTGATCTAGCCACCATATTTATTTCTTAGGCTATATTTGATATAGTTGTTGATATTTGAAATGCCAAGTGAAAAATTTTGTTGAAAAAATCAAAGGTGAAAATTTATTATTGAAAAATTATAGATTTTTTTTTTTTTTTGTAGACCTATCGTTGATATGC